GGAATTGGACTCCAATAGGGGAATTGATCATCTTCAGGGGTAAAGTTGTAAATTGAGCTAGGTTGCTCGATCTATGCTTAGCGGTTAAGCTCCAAATTAATTAGACTCTCAATAGACAATCAAGTTCAATTTTGAACTTGTATATATGTCAGATTTGCAAGCTAATCACGAGTTTATCAATTTAGGTCTGACTCGAATTTTACTTGTTTGATAAATAAGTCAAATTCAAGCTTCACTTTTTTAAGTTCAAATTCATTACTGTAAAATTGAATTAGAGCTAAAGTATTCTAATAATTCAATTCATTTACAGCCCTATAATTAAGAAATCATCTCTCATTTATATTTTGTGCTTTCTAATTTGAAAAACACCATTATAGCCTAAAAATCTTAAAATGCTCTCAATCTTCAAACTATTCTTTATCAAAGGGAATTTATCATATTCTCTGTTATCACCTGCAATACTGCTATTAGGATCAGTACCGCAAGAAGGATCAACGAATGGCTGGTGGAAGTGGAACGTGCGACATTTTCAACACTCTGAACAGAATTTTTCCCTTAAATGCTTGTCTCAAAGTAAAACTAGAAAAACTATGTCGGTGCATACAAAACAACTAACAAGCTGAAATGCCTTTGTTTTTATTGGCCAACCTGAAATGCTACCATCTCTATTATAAGAAAAGAAGTAGCTTGTCAAGTCTACTTTGGAGAATCACAATTCACATGGAATGGAAGACAATTAAACAGAAAGAAACACACATTGCACAATTAGGAAAAACCGAAGAGGGGATCCCCCAATTTCTTCAAGATGAGGAAAAGATAGTTTGTTCGTTGTCAAATTGGAAAAGACACAAATTACAGAGGAATCCTCTTTAGCTTCTTACAGTTGAGAATTGTAACATCCTTCTCTCTAGGAAAATTGATTTTTTGTATCGAGATTGAGGAGATGCATTAATAATTGAAAAAGATTACCTAGAAATTCCAATGAGTTGAGCTGTATAGGCATGACAAAGTATCAATCACTAGAGATTACAAACAAGGACCAAATAGACCTAAAAGGAATACCTTATTGTGCACTGAAGGCATCTAAAAAGTCTCATATGATACTCAACCACGAATCCCTCTCCAACCATGTTATCAACAACCAAAGCAAGTGCAACAACCCGTTTGAGCCTAACTAGCATTGCAACAATGTCATCTTCCTCCTTTACCAAGAAATAAGCTATGTACTAAATCTTATATATTGTTTCCAAATTACTTAGGGTTCAGTTATTACCTCGTATATATTGTATACCAGTATAGTAATAATATTATCTCAATTTTCCTTTCACATTCTACAACCTATTCCCTAATTGCCGAAGGGGATAGAAGCGAAGAGCAAGAGAGACTAAGCAAGAGTAGAAGGGGTTAGAGGAGAGAGAGGCGGCTCTCAAG